TCACGTTTCAGTTTCAAATTCTAACGGTTTTCAGAAGTTATGTTTTTCACGGTAACTCCCGAATCAGTTTCGCAAAATTAAAAAGTTAGTTTATTTATTTATTTATTCAGAATATTTGCGAAAAATCGCGTACTCTGGTGTATTAGTCAGACGGGGTGTTACAGTCTGTCTCCGGATGATAGGCTGAACTGAACTCTAGCTTCGTGCCCATCGCCTCATGTAAGCTATGCCAGAATCTGCTGACGAATCTGGGATCTCTGTCTGATACAATAGTGACGGGCACTCCGTGGAGTCGGATGGTCCCACGGTTGTATATCTCAGCTAACTTGTCCAGAGACATCTTCATCGAAACGGGTAAGAAATGCGCGACCTTAGTCAATCTGTCGACCACAACCCAGATAGCGTCGTGATGTTCAGATGACCTCGGCAATCCCGTGACGAAATCCATCGTGACTTCCTCCCACTTCCACCTCAGAATCGGCAGTGGCTGCAGGAGGCCAATCGGACTCTGATGTTCGGCCTTGACTTGCTGACAGGTAAAACACCTCCTGACAAACTCGGCGACGTCCTTCTTCATACCTCGCCACCAGAACGACCCTTTCAGGTCGTGATACATCTTCGTGCTCCCAGGATGGGCCAGATAGGGTGCGGTATGAGCCTCTGATAAAATTTCCTTCCGCAACGCCTCGACCTTCGGGACCACGATCCTGCCTCTGAACTCTAGGGCCCCGTCGACACCTAGCTGAAAACCCTCGATGCCTCCGGCTCGAACCTTGGCCTCCATGACACGAACGAACTCGTCAGAAGCCTGCTCTCGCCGGATTCTCTCTCTCAGTGTCGGCTGAAGCTGCATGGCACTGACACTGGCACTGGTACTCCCCGAAAATGCTATGGGAAGTGCATCAATAGCCTGAAGCTGCATCCGAGCAAACTCCTGAATCAACGGACTCTGCTGAGTGATGACATACGTCAAGTCACCCCTCACCTTTCGGCTAAGGGCGTCCGCAACGACGTTCGCCTTCCCCGGATGATACTGACTCGAGCTGTCGTAATCCTTGACGAGCTCTAACCAACGGTGCTGTCTCATGTTGAGCTCCTTCTGAGTAAAGATATACTGCAGGCTCTTATGATCGGTGAAAATCTCACAATGACGGCCATAAAGATAGTGTCGCCAAATCTTGAGAGCATGAACGACTGCTGCTAACTCCAAGTCGTGCGTCGGATAGTTCTGCTCATGAGGCTTAAGCTGACGTGAAGCGTACGCAACGACCTGGCCGTCCTGCATAAGGACGCATCCCAAGCCCTGTCTCGAAGCATCGCTGAAGATGGTGAAACTCCGAGAAGTATCGGGAATAGTCAACACCGGTGCTGAAGTTAATCTCCTATTGAGCTCCTGAAAGCTCGACTCACATCGGTCAGTCCACTCGAACTTCACAGACTTCCTCGTCAGCTGGGATAGAGGGAGGGCGATCTTGGAAAAGCCCTCGATGAACCTGCGATAGTAACCAGCTAGACCGAGAAAACTGCAAACCTCGGACAGGCTCTTCGGTGTCGACCAGTTCTGAACAGGTGAGACCTTAGAAGGATCCACCTCGATACCTGCCTGAGTAATCACATGACCCAGAAAAGCTAGTCGCTGGAGCCAGAACTCGCATTTGGAGAATTTGGCATACAACTTTTCTCGTCTGAGGGTTTCGAGAACCACCCTCAGATGCTCCTCGTGCTCCTTCTGGCTCTTCGAGTAGATAAAAATATCGTCAATAAAGACAATAACAAACTGATCGAGGTAGGGATTGAAAATACGATTCATGAGGTCCATAAAAACTGCTGGCGCATTGCTGAGACCGAATGGCATGACGACGAACTCGTAATGGCCATAACGAGTCCTGAAAGCGGTCTTAGCGATATCTGACTCCTTAATATTCAGTTGGTGGTAGCCTGATCGTAAATCAATCTTTGAAATACACAGGCGCCCCTCAACTGATCAAATAAGTCGTCTATCCTGGGAAGCGGATACTTGTTCTTGATCGTCAACCGGTTAAGATCCCGGTAGTCGATACACATGCGCATGGATCCGTCCTTCTTCTTAACAAAGAGAACGGGTGCTCCCCAAGGTGACACGCTCGGTCGGATGAAACCGAGTCGTAACAGCTCCTGAATCTGAGTCTTAAGCTCCTGCAGCTCCTTAGGCCCCATGCGGTATGGGGCTTTGGATACTGGACCGGCTCCTGGAATGAGATCGATTGAGAACTCCACCTGCTGGTTAGGCGGTCCTCCTGGAAGCTCGTCTGGAAATACGTCCACAAACTCTCGAACTACTGGAACATCGTGAGGTGAACGTGCTTTCTGAGAATCGTCGACAAGGCTCACCAGATAACCCTGGCAGTTGCCTCGTCGCAACAACTTAGTGGCTTTCGCCATCGAAACAACATAAGGCAAAGAACGGTTTCTGGAGCCGAAGAAAGTAATTGACTCGTCTCCCGGAAGATACAGAGTAATCTCCCGGTCATGGCATCTGGTATCTGCTTGATAAAAGGATAGCCAATCCATTCCGAGAATAAGGTCGAAGTCCCTCATC